CACAAATAAATAAACCGGGGGGGAGGGGTGCTGGTCCAGGTTTTGGATCACCCTCTGGCTGCACTCCTGTGCAGCTGCTGGGGTCCAAGACAGGTGGATATCTGGCAGACTAAATGAAACGCAGTGGAATGGTGTAGCACAGACATGCTCGTGTTGAGCTTCTAAGAAAGAGTTTACGTCAAAATTAGGGAAAGGATTCCATGGAAAGACAACAACAACAACAGTGTAACTCATCTTTCTAGTTCTGATCTACTCCATCTTGGGTTTTTTTTGTTCCCTCTGATCCTAAGAAGGAAGGAGTGGAAGTTCCCCCCCCAACGCTCCACCCCTTGTGTACGTGCAGAATAGCATCAACTATCTCCAATATATTGATCAGCCAATTGTCAGTCTTAAGGTCACCTCATTAAGAATAAAACCTCTCCCTTTTGGGTGGGAAGAATCTACTCTACACCTAATTCGTTCTATGCTAAACTTGCTACTATCAGCATAAAGAAACTTCAGCTTAACGCTTTCATGACTGGAAGGATGATACTTGCAAAACCCAGCAAAGAGGCTCGGCATCTCACCCACGAGAGGGTGCGGCCTGCTGCCAAGTCTACCCCAGAGAGAGAGACTTCTCTTAGCCCTTTCCCTCCCAGGTCCTCTTGCATGCAGAGTTACAGTATCCAACAAAAGCCCGTGCTGTACCCTGAATTCATTCGGCTGTCCAGTCTATTAACTGACTGGAACTTACGGGGCTGATTCATCTTTGGGCTTTGAGTCTCAGGCAAACTGTGCCTTGTTTGGAGCCGAGTCGTGGAAGGACCCTCAGCGTTGGTGCGGGATCTACCCAGCTGCATTTGAGGGCAGCCTTAGACCCTCTGCAGTTTAGGAGATTGGATTTATACCCCGCCCTTCACTACCCGAAGGAGTTTCAGAGTGGCTTACAGTCTCCTTTCCCTTCCCCTCCCCACCACAGACACTGTAGGGGAGGTGGGGCTGAGAGAGCTCTCCCGAGAACTGCCCTTGAGAGAACAGCTCTGTTAAGAACTGAAGGAATTCTGAAAGACTGACCCAAGGTTACCCAGCTGGCTGCATGTGGAGGAGTGGGGAATCAAACCCGGTTCTCCTAGATTAGAGTCTGCACTCCTAACCACTACACCAAAGTGGCTCTAGGAGTTAGGCACCCATCATCAGTGTGCAGAGCAGCTGGGTAAACCGGGGATCCCCAACCTTTAAACCTTTCTTGGCTCCCGCCAAGTCTCTTTAGAATGTGGGTGGGGCCAAGTGAGACTTTTGCCCAGCAAAGCTTCTGATTGGCCATTGGAGAACCGATGGGCTGTGAAAGAGGACTGGCCAATTAGAATGACACGCTCACCTCTGCAGGGCACACAGGATTGGAGGCCATACCAGAACCAGGAAGTTTATGAATGCTTTGAAGCATACCGTGATGGGGGTGTTTTGTTGATTGAGTATATTTTTACCTCGCCCCTCCTCCAGCGAGTTCGAGGCAGCATACTCAGTCCCCTTTCCTTTACATTGTCACAACAGCCCTGCGAGGGAGGGAAGGCCGGGCAAGATGCCGAGGGAGCCTCATCACCTAGGGATTAGAGCCCTGATCTGCCCATCCTCGATCTGATGCTCCAAACTGCTGCACTGCAGTGTCTCTGAATAACCTCTTTCGAGGGAAACGTACAGAGACGCGGTCACATCAGTTAGAGCCTGTGCACATCAATGGTAAAAGTACAGAGAGGTCATTGTCTTCCAGACGGATTTGACAGGTGTTGCTTAAATTAGGAAGGGCGCAGAGTCCCTCCCTGACTATAGTAAAGATGCTGAGGTTTGAGTTGAGGACCGAGTGAGCTGAGCTGGGAACCCTCATTACCACCGGGCGTCTGTGGGTCTGGTTCCCAGGGGATCGGCCCAGGTACGGGAAGCTGGCCGCGCTGACCCCGCGAGTGCCCAGTTTAGACAGCTGACAACCACAAAGGGGAATTTCAATAATGTCAGTTTTACCGTAATCGCTTTTAGAATTGGGCACTTTGTAACCGCTTCAAACCGGCTGAGTGGCACAGCGTCTCTCCCCCTCGCGCTGATCACCTTCCACTGAGAGTCGGTTTGCCAGGAAGGTGAATTGCTGGGTGTCACCCTGATAACAAGGTCATCATTACTCTGTAGATGCCTCTGTGATTCTAGGTCAAATCTCCGCCCTTCCTGGCGTGACCCCTTTGGCCTTGCAGCTGCTGAAAGCAAACTTGGTTACAGGCTAGACCGGGGTCCCCAGTGAGGAGGAGGAGGAGAAGAAGAGGAGGAGGAGGAGATTGGATTTATTCCCCGCCCTTCTCTTGGAGTCTCAGAGCGGCTTATGATCTCCTTTCCCTTCCCCTCCCCACAACAGACACCCCTGTGAGGTAGCCGGGGCTGCTCTTTTCAGAAATGTCCTTGAGAGAACAGCTCTGACAGAACTGTGGCTTGCCCAGGGTCATCCAGCAGCTGCGAGTGTGGTGTCTGGCACCCAGTCCCATTCCTGGCACCCACCAGCTGTTTTTAGAAAGTGGGCGTAGCCAGGTAGGGGTTTTGCCCAGCGAGGCTTTTGATTGACCATTGGAGAGCGGCTTAGCAGTGCAGATTTTTTTAAAAAAACATTGCTTTGGTAGCCATTGTCGTCACACCACAAGGCTCATCGCTGTGAGCGTGACAGTAAGCCGCGGCAGCCATTTTGTTGCGGGCTCCGCCTCCTACGGCAGCCATTTTGTGGCTGTGCCCATCACGCTGTGTCAGGATTCCAGAAGCGCCCAGAGGCTCAGACGGACCGGGGACCCCTGGGCGAGGTGTTTTGTGAAGAGCCACTTGATGGCTTCATAGGTCTCATCTAGGGGTTTCCATTTATTCATTGAGAGCCGGCGTGGTGCAGTGGTTAAGCACGGCAGACTCAGACTAGGCTTGATTCCCCACCTCCTCCTCCTCCCCATGCAGCCAGCCGGTTGACCTTGGGCCAGTCACAGTTCTCTCAGAGCTCTCAGCCCCACCTGCCTCACAGGTTGTGGGGAGAGGAAGGGAAGGCGATTGTAAGCCACTCCAAGACTCCTTCGGGTGTTGCCTAAACCAGAGATGCTTGGCTTCCACCTGATTACCTGAGATGTGTCAGTAGCTTGTCCTCTCCACCATTGGAGTGACATCATCGGTCCTGAGAAGCCACGTTGAGCCCCTGACAGTGAGAAAAGCCTAGCTGGAATAAAGTCCTGCCCTGTTAATAGCTGTTGCTCTTGAGTTGGAGGGGTCAAGCCCTGCTGCAGTTGCCGGGGGTTCTTCCCCCAAGGAGGCTGTAGGCTCAGGGAGAAGTACCACTGTGACGTCCTTGCTTATAGGGGAAATGGGTTTTACCTTCAAACACTCTCTGTGTATGTAAACTTGGTCGTTTTCTGCTACCACCAGGAATTTAAAATTCCAATTCTCTCTCTTTTGGTAGTATGACCCAGGGTCTGGGCACTTCAGAGGACTATGTGGCCATGAGGAAGTACTGTACTGATTTCTGGGATAAGTGTAAACAAAAACTCATTTATTTAATAAAGAACAAAATAAGTTTCTGGTTATTTTGAACAGCTGCGGAAGAAAGGAACTTGTAAATATAGCTGGCAAAGCGTGGTGCCACAAACAGCCTCTCAAACTCCAAACTCCACTCTGACAGGCTTATACACCCAGTATACTCTCTTATATATAGCCACACAGACTAGTCTCTTTGTTTTATTCACACTGAATAGAATCAACTCTCTTAGTCACACAGACTAAACTGTCGGTCTTATTCACTCAGAATTAGACTCAAAATTCCATAGTCACACAGACCATGCTCACTCTTCAAACTTTACACACAGAATCCTCTCATAGACACACACACAGATTCCTCTCAGAACATCTCTTTCCACACTCTCAGTCATCAGCCAATCACATCACACTTATCTCCCTCTTTCACTCTTCTCCTATGACTGCAGTCAAACTAAACATTTAAAGGAACACACACACCAAAACATGGAATCATTACAACCACTCTGGTGGAACATGCCATAATTCCCATGGAGGGGCCTGTCCCAGAGAAGCCTCGCGGCCATCCGTGCTCTAAGGAGCCCTTCCTCTCTCTGTCTCCCCCTCCCAGGTACATGGAGGTGGCCAACAACGTCCAGAAGGAGGAGACGGTGCTAAGCATCCAGTTTGTGCTCCTGGACTGCTCCCACCTGAAGGCGGCCGTGGTGCAGCACTGCAACGAGTGGCAGAACAAGCTCACCAACCTGCTGAAGGAGATGGCCACCACCCGCCTGCAGGAGCTCCATACCTACCTCCAGCAGAACGCCGCAGAGTGAGTAGGGGCCCCCCCTGGACGGCTCCCGGCATGCCTGGTGGCGTCCGTCTCGCCCCCCCACCCTGCCTCCACTAAAGGGCACCCCCCCTTCCCTTGCAGCGTCAGCCGTCCCCCGCAGACCCTGGAGGAGCTGGGCCGGAGCCTGCAGCTCCACGAAACCCTGCAGCAGGAGCTGCCCAAGATTGAGGGCCAGATCCCGCCCATCCACGAGCAGTTTGCCATCCTTGAGAAGTACGAGGTTGCCGTCGAGGAAGAGGTACGTCGGCGGCAGCAGCTGATGCCCTCTGACAGCCCAGCTGGTGTTGTTGGTCCTGGTTTCCTCCACTTGAGCCTCGTTGGCTCCTTTCTTGCCGTACCAGGCGGTCCCAGTATTAAATTACGTTCTGTTCCGGGGCACCCTGGAAGGCACGAATGTGACCTGTGCTCTTGGTAACTGTGGTGGAGCGGGCCTGCTCTGGCCTGCAGGGCCTGTCCCACCCTGCCCTCCACGGTTTTCTCAACACCTGGAGAGTCTTCTCTCTCTCCAGTAACCTGCCACCACCACCTGACCTTTGTAGGAATTGCCCGCTGGGAGGGCCAGGACTCCCAGCTTCCCTCCCAAGTTCTGAGACCTGGCCTCTGTGTCTCTCGCTGACCAGTGCCTGGTCACCATGGGGACCGTTTACTGCCTTGTGTGCCCCTGGAGGGATGGCCGATTGCCAATTGCCTGCCTTCCTCCCTGGCGCCCCCTTTAAAATAGCATGTCTGACACGGTGGAGATGTATGTGGTACAGAGAACCACTTTTTGTCGTTCAGTCACACAGTCGGGTCCGACTCTTTGCGACCCCATGGACCACATCACGCCAGGCCCCCCTGTCTTCCACCATCCTCTGGAGTTTGCTTAATTTCATGTTTGTTGCATCGATAACAGAGAACCACTACCAGCATCCAAAGTTATGAAGTATTTATTAAAAAGAAAATCTTCACAAGTATACTTTTAGCACAGCACCAGATTGAGCAGGGATTAAAAAGAAATGGCTAAAACGCAAATCCTCTGCCCTTCTTTCTATACGGGCACTATCACATGTTAAAATATAGGACAGGCTCCTTAGCTTAGGATGTTACAGATCTCTACAGTGTATCCATTACCTTGAAGCTTTCTGTAGCTCTCCGGGCCAGCACATGGTCAATGGCTGCTTCCTTCAGACCTCAGCTAAGAGTTCTGTCTGCTCTGATGGACCCAGCACAAAAGAGGCCTATTCCTCCTTGTTCCCCTGAGTTTTATCACTTCTTTTTTCCCCACCCAGTGACCAGGTCAAGCCAGGTCAGAGAAGCTTTTCCTGATGTCTCCAAAAATTTCCTTCCTGAAGTCTCTCTAGTATTTAATACCCCCAAACCTCTGTTCCCTACTTCAGGGGGCGGGGCGGGGAGACTGGAGCCTCCTATTGTCTCTAGCTAGACCCGGTAGCATTTCTTAAGAGGTAGCTGAGGTGAGCCTGGAAAGCCATTGACTGACTTCCTCCTCCCTGCCTGTTCTCTGCCCAGAGAGAGGAATAAAATATTTTAAAACTCAGAGGTTCTGCTCATTTCAATCCTCCAAAGAAAAAAACGCATTTCTTCACAGTAAGCAAAGTGGTGAGGGTCGTCAGGGGTGAGGGGTGGATCAGAAAACTTCCCCGGTCAGGCAAGAGAACAGGGGGCTGAACACTCCACACCCTTGGGCGTCCATTTTCCTCAAGAAGAATCTCTCTTTTTCCTGGCCTGTTGCTGTCCTGTCTGCCGGGGATCGGGGCTCCTCGCCCCCATGGCCACTTCCTCACCTCTGCCTGCTTCCTTCCAGGTGCTGCAGCTGCTGGGCGAGCTCAACTCGGAGTGGCTGTCCTTCCAGCAGTGCATCCTGGACAGCGAAGTCATGCTGAAGAAGCACAAGGAGAAGTTCAAGACTGGCCTCATCCACTGTGCCGACGACTTCAAGAAGAAGGCCCAGAACCTCCTTCAGGAGTTTGCCTTCAACGGTAGGGGTCCCGCTTGCCCACTGATGGCAGGAGGCCTCCGGCCACGTGTAGCGCTTGCCAGCTGATGTGCGGCTGATCAGTGGGCAAAAACGGGGGGCATATTTAAAAAGAAAACTAAGGCCCCGGCCACTTAATGCAAGGTCTGACCATAGATTTCCTGGCAGCTCCTAGAGCTACCCGGACCTGAGAAGGGTAGCTCTAGCAATTACCAGAAACTCTATATAGATCAAGATGGGTAGCTGTGTTAGTCTCTAGCGGTGGAAAAGAGCAAGAGTCCAGGAGCACCTGAAAGACTAACAAAATTGGTGGCAGGGGAGGAGCTTTCGTGAGCCACTGCTCACTTCTTCAGATACCGAAGGTATCTTGCTCTCTTCTACAGAAACTCTGTGGTAATCTTACCACAGAGTTTCCGGCAGTTGCTAGAGCTACCCTTGTCACTTCTGGGTAGCTCTAGGCATTGCTGGGACCTCTGTGGTAAGCACTTACGGTAAGTGGCTGAGGCCTTATTTTTTATTTTACTCCGGGTACTCTGCCCCCAGCCCCACAACCCTCCTGCTGGTTGCCAGTCACTGCCTGGCCAACCCTAATCCAGTGGTGAGTAGCCAGGCCGCCTGGGGTGCAGGCCTCCGCCCCGCCCCTCTTTGCTGAGCCTTCTTCTCTCAGACTGTGCACACTCTCCCCAGGCATGGAGGCAGGTCCTGCCGCGGGTCCAGACTCCCCCATTCCCAAGCCAATGAGGAGGAAGTTCTTTGGATATTTAATTGCAATTAAATAACTGAAAACAGTTAGGCCAAACCAGCCGATCAAAAATTGACTGCTTTCTGAGCAATATATGGAAATACGTGGAGTTTTATACTCCGAATGACATAGGCAAGAAGATAACATCCAGAAATCATAATTGGTCACAGAATAACAGAGCATCATTTAAGTAGTCATTCATTCATTGGTCAGTTACAGGGAAAGGTGTGACTACATGATATCTTAAATGTTTATTTAACCTAACCTTATTAATAATAGGGCTGCGGTGGCTCAAGTGGTTAAGACACTAAGCCGCAGACCGGAAGGTCGGTAGTTCAGCAGTTCGAGACCCGAGTACCGCAAGACAGAATGAGCTCCCGTCTCTGGCCCCAGCTCCTGCCAACCTAGCAGTTCGAAAGCAAGAAATTGCAAGTAGATGAATAGGTACCACTTCGGTGGGAAGGGAACAGCATTCCGTGGGCCTCGGTGTTTAGTCATGCCGGCCGCATGACCACGGAAACGTCTTTGGACAGTGCTGGCTCTTCGGCTTGGAAACGGAGAGTAGCGCTGCATCCCTGTCTTCTGCTGTACCAGCAATACTGCACCGAAGGCCTTTTAGAAACAGCAGACGGCCAGATAGCGATTTCATCCGAACAACTTGAAAGAAGAAAAAGAACGTTGTTTCTTGTCTGCTAGCATCAGCTAGAAAGACACTCGAACTGACAAAGGAGAGGCCTTACCACTTAGTAGGCTTTTGGTGTAGTGGTTAAGTGTGCGGACTCTAATCTGGGAGAACCGGGTTTGATTCCCCACTCCTCCACTTGCACCTGCTGATGTGACCTTGGGTCAGTCACAAGCTCTGGCACAGCTGTCCTTGAAAAAGAGCAGTTTCTGTCAAGAGCTCCTCAGCCC